CCCTGAAACAACCTCTTGGCTGGTCTAAGTCAGGGCATAGCTAACTCACAGATTGAACCCTGAAACAACCTCTTGGCTGGTCTAAGTCAGGGCATGGCTAACTCACAGATTGAACCCTGAAACAACCTCTGGGCTGGTCTAAGTCAGGGCATGGCTAACTCACAGATTGAACCCTAAAACAACCTCTTGGCTGATCTAAGTCAGGGCATGGCTAACTCACAGATTGAACCCTGAAACAACCTCTGGGCTGATCAAAGTCAGGTCACAGCTAGTTCTAATACAAGTTATAAACCTATTTCCATTTTGTTTCAAAAGGATGTCAGAAGAGAAGAGATAGTAAAAAAACTTGAAGTAGCAGAAACGAAAGAAAAGGAAGAAGTCTTGTCCCAGAAGAAAGAACTTTTCTCTTCTAGAAGAGCAAAACAGGCAGAACTTAGAAAACTTGAATGGAAAATGGAACTAACAGCACTGGTAGGAATATATAATAATAAATAATAATAATAATAATAATGGGATTAACAGTGGATTCTACAGAGTGGCACTTCTTCCACTGGACTCCAATTAGAATTTACAAGTTGATTTTTATGGAGGGAGGAAAGCAGGAGAACCCAGAAAACCTGTGAAGCACAGGAGAGAACCAACATAAGCAACTCTACTCACATATGCAACATTGATCCCAGCGGGTCTGGAACCTGGGTTGCGTTGGAGAGAGATGAGCACTCTCACTGCTATGCCACCCATAGTTCCCTTTTTATATTTGATTTTCCTTTCTACTAACACAATATGAGACTTGCTGATATTTTTTATTTAAATGATTTTTTGCAGCAAGAGGAATGGGATGAACATGGAAAAAAGCTATGTAAATTCATAAAGACTAAAGCAAAGCCTCACATTCATTATGTTCCCGCTAAACACACTGATAAAACTTCAAAACTGCTTGAGGAATCATCCAGATCAGCTAAACGTAAGGAAATACTTAACGTTATAGTAGAAAAATAACATTGATTCCTTGCTGTAGTGTGTGTTAAAGTGAAGGTGTCAAGCTCCTATAAACAAGTATGTTAAAAATCTTAGCCTCTACAATATTTACCTGAACTATGTTGCTCTTTCAACAGGGGCTATGGCAGAACGTAGAGCAGTTATAGAGGAAGAATTTGAAACCCAAGTGGAAATAGAAAAAACAAAAGAGGAGAGTAATGGTGAGAGTAAGGGTAAGGAAGATGTAAAGGAAGAACAAGAATCTCCTGTGCGAGAATTAGGTGAGGAGGTAGAGATGGAGAACTTTGAGGGAGAGAGTAGGAGTGAGGGTGCCGTCAGAGAAACCGATGGAGATACTAGACAGGTGATTATGAAAGACGAGAATGAGGAGAGTATGGATACAGGGGAGGTCAACTGATAGGGGGGATTTTATTTATAGCCGATGAACTTTTAGTCGGATCTTTTATGGACTGTTGTGTTTATTTCTCTCTACTTGTTGATTGTTGTCTTTGTAGTTTGAAACATTCACAGAGAATTTCATCATGATTGTCATCTTCATCATCAAATTAATATTACTGTTCATGCATGATCTCATTGTCATCTTCAGTCATCATTATTATTATTAGTATCATCTATCATAATCGTTGCTTCTAAACACTGTCTTCATCTTACCATTGTCTTCCCCATTACACCATTTTTGATTTCTCATTTTTGAGCTTATTACTGTGATTCTCAATGTTCTTCAAACTCGGACATTTAAACAGCTTGTTGTGAAATTGGTTTTTTGCCGCTGCCAATCAAAACTCAACAGTATGTATGTTTCATGTCTTTGACTGGCAGCAGTGAAAATGAAATTTAAATGGGAAACTTGGAACTACCGAGTTTGCAGAGTATTAAGAATTGCAGTAAACCATTCCAACCACTGTTTCAAGTGTTTTAATTTAATGTACTAATTCTGTGGATGACACATTTTCCTTTGCCACAAACTCCCTGTTTCATCTTTTCATGTCCACATCGAATGTCAACAAAACTTTTATCTTTCCACAAACAAAACTACTGTGCTCATTGTTGTTCGATGCTACTGCTAATGAATATTACATATTATATTTTCGTTGCTACAGGATGTTCTCATTTATTCTCTATTATTTTTAGATGTATTATTATTTTAGAATTCTCTCTYGGAAATAAAAGTATGCAAATATGGCAAAATTGTATTGTTGATAGTAAATTCATTAGAGGAGTTTCAAGCAAATAAACTTACCATATATGCAGCATTTGTAGGTGTCTTTGAATTTTGTTGAAAAAAAATGCTTGGTTGTGCAGGTATATAGAAAAAGATTAAAAATCTCAACATCAGGTGCCTTGATATGTGCCATGAATTGAAGTCGATACCATTGCAGGAGCAGGCATAGCTTGGTTTGTGTGCAGCCTCTGGAACTAGAGGACCACAGTTTGGTCCTTATGACCTCCACGTCTGTTGAACTTCTCTCTGTTCTGTGAAGTTTAAGCTTTAAATATCTGTAGTAAGAAGCCCTGATAGTCTGAGGGGGTTAAGGGTGCACCTTAGAATGCTTATATGAGATCCCGGCTTCAAAAAAGTAAAAAAAAAAACCTTTATCTTTCTACCATGGTCATGGAAAAAAAGTAATTGTTGAAAGAACTAGTATCATTGAAACAGAATCTTACAATTATTGAAAACAACTTTATTTATCAATCAAATACATAACGTTACAAATGAAAAATATGGCTACAGCTGGTGAATCAGTCGGTCCATATCTTGACAACCTACACTATCTAGACCAGCACCAGTAATAGACATCTGTTGGGGTAGGGTAGGGTGATCCTGCTAGGACACCAGGTGAGTGAAAAGGGATCAAAACAATAGAACAAAAGTAAACAAGTAGAAAACTTGCCGTTAGGGGCCGCGGACTGGCCACACCCGTGTACGGTTGGTCTGCAAATTGCATGACGTAACATTTAGAATTTGTTTAAATTGATTTTCCAAAGCCTTCGTAGTATAATTTCTTCATTAGTTATGAATAAAATCAAATGAGGATCAATCACGAAATCGTCCATTCTTTGTCCTTCCTCGCCAGATTACATGTTCGCGGAAAGTCCACCGAAGGAATTGTTCTCTTTATTCCATGTTTCCATACTCGTTGCTGCGATTCCCTTAGCTTTTTCACAGCCTTGTAGAGCAGCCTTGGAAAGCATGCGGATAAAGTTATCGTTCTTTTTGTTGAGCTCCTTGAGCCGTGCCTGTTTTTCGATTCTTCCCTCCCTCAGCTTGCGCTCCTTTTCTTTTTGATTTCTTCTGAACGCTCGACTACAGTCTTTGTTCTTCTCCCGCCTTCTTATTTGCATCTGTTCTTTTCGTTTCTATACAAAGAACAGTTAGTTATCCTTGATAAAATGAAGTTACGCCCATTTATATAATTTTGCTACCCTAGGGGCGCTTCCAAAAAAATTCATAGTGGAGGGGATTACTTCCCTCCCAAAAACATGCACATTGCAATTACACTCCCGTAGGAAAAAGTTTTCACAGGCAACCCAAGACCCCACACCCAACCCTGTATGTACCTGCTCTTCCAAGACGTCTTTGTCAATCACTTCTGTCTCGTTCTCATTGTAGTTCTGAAAAATACCCATTTGATTGATGACATTCAGCGTGCATGCGCTAGCACTGGCTGTGGATGTTGACTGGGTTGCAGCTGAATGGCTTATAGTCGGGTATTCGGCCATTAACTGCGTTCCCGTAAGATAGTACTGGTTGTTGCTACCTAATTGAAATGCACCCATATCTAAATGAAAATAAATATTTTCAGTACTAATTTCTGATTTAATTTTTAAAAAAATTAGCTAACGACCGACCGACCGACCGGACCAACCAACCGAACGGTCGACTTATATCGACATAAATATTCTTCAGGTAAAAATATCATAATGAAGAGAGGAAGAGAAAAACCGAGCTCACCTTGAGCATTTTCGCTGAAATACTTCCCATCTACGATCATGTATTGTTGTCCATCGTTCCCTAATTCTACTCGCAAATGATTCGGTTGAGCCTGAGAATAAACTTGAGGGACTGTTACAACTTCGGCCAAATAATTAGCGACCTCGTGGTCGTTCGGATCAGACCAGGTGCTGGAGATTGGCCGAGCTTTCTCCAATACACTCGTATTTACCCTTAGGGGAAAAGTTAATAGAGGAAATTATTAAATTATTTTATGAAATTATAAAAATATTGGAGAAAACCCCTTAAAAGTCGCTAATTAAGTATAGACAACTTTTTCTTTTCAAAGCTTTTTCTTGACACCGGCTGGGATACTAGCCCATACGTACTATATATGGGCTTCCTTGGGCTGGCTAAGCTACCTTGGAAAATGCTGGAACGCTATCACGTGATTTTTGGAACAAAAACTTCGGCTCTCCTACCCCTCCCGCAAACTTTTTTTTGCCTAGGATCGGAAACTAGCAAAAAATTTGAACAAAGATCCCAAAATAAACTGGTTACTATTAACTACCACTAGCTTGAAAAATTATTATTACTAAGTATCTTTGACTGTATGATTTTAATACTTACGTTCCATGCAAGCTTGGGAAGTGATTTCCTCCTCTAACCATGTATTCAGAAGATCTTTCAGGATGAATTGGGATATTTGACCATGAGATTTTTGTAGGACTTTCCATGGCAGCAGAATTGGAATCTGAAGTTATAATAGTATTTAATAAAGAAACTAGTTTTAAAGACTATTGTTTCAGGTCCATGGACTCCGCGCCTTGCACTGCTCGTTTGAAAATAATTTCTGTTTAGATTGTCAACAGTATGCTTAAAAAGAAAGGAGAAAAAAAGAAAGAAAGAAAGAAAAATACTTTCTTTTTATCATAAAATGGATTCAAAACATTTCATACCAAAAACTTAAGGCATTTTATCAATAAAAGCTGTAAACAGCTTGCGCGGCTATAAAAAACTTATCAGAAAAATTAATGTTGTTTTTGTTGTTGTTGAAACTTATTATCTGTCTTGTCTGGTAAGCTTACCTTTAATAGTTAGGTAATGTTGTCCTTCACTGTCCATTTGTATGGGAACTTGATTGTTGTTTGAGTATAAACTTGGACTTAAGTTTAATGCATTGTCCAGTGCTTCGTTCTTTGTGTGTCGTGAATTATCCAGCCATAATTGTTGATTTACATTTAGCCCACCGTCCAGATTTTCGGACCTTGAAATTGAAACGAAGTGAAAAAACTGAGTTTGTACATTTCACAGTTCGTCAAAAAGGAAATTAACGTTTTTCTGAAAACTTACAGTTCTTCAGGAGTTAGTATGTCAGTTGTTTCATCACTATTCGTGTTCACAAGTTGAGGTTTTTCCTCGGTATTTCTTTCCGTTGGGTTGCAATAATTTTCAAAATCGGCCAAAATAAAATGTTCAACATTGTCGACCCGTGGAGTTGAAGGCGCTGAAGAAACGCGTGAAGATTCACCTATGGCTTCAAAGTTAACGTCAAGAATGCTCATTATAACAACTCTTGCTTAAGGACATTTGAAGTTTCGAAGGAATATAGAGGAACGCGAAAAGAAACTAAAAAGAAAAGGAAAACTCTCCAAGGTCAAGCAAGAGACTGTTATGCTGGAAAATCCTTCTCTTCGGAGTTTTAACTGAACTTGCCTCTGATTGGTCAGGAATCAGCCACTGATGAGCAAGAATGACCCGTCAAACACACGACTCTGAAATGGCTTCCTCACTTATTCTTTCGTTTTTGTTGTTAGTTTGACGTCGATTTGACATTCATTTTTATGGAAGTATTTTTAAATCGACGAATGTCAGCATATATATGTTTTCCCACGCATTCACCGGAATCGCTAGTTTTTCAAATTCCTAAAATTGATTAAGTAAACATTTCTTAAATTTTCGCGTTAAGAAAAACCAGAAAAATAATGTGACTTTAAAAGATCCCTAATCTAATTTACAAAACAATGGCTGAGTTGGTTCGTTAAAAAAGAAAACATAACGTCTATTTTTTTTTTATATACGGAAAAGGGCGTTACTATTTATACGTTTGTGATTATATTAGCGTGACATTTAAGAACAGCCTATATTGCGTTATTTTGAAGTGGCGGGAAAACTTGACGCGTTTGCCCATTATTTGTTACTTTTTATTTAATAATTTTCCATCAAAGGCTTTAATTCTTGCGATTTTCTTGCTTTATTCCTCAATAATCCTTGCTTTTTTAACGACATTTCTTCCTTCTAATGTATAAAGATTTAATTTTTGTATAAATGCCGTGAATCTGGTTCAATATGGATAGTGATTGTGAACGGCTTGTTGAAGAAATGTGGCAGTCATATTTGTGCGAAGAAAACTTGGACAGGTGAGCTTAAACTTTTAAAAATTTTCAACTCATGAAAATAGTAATATGATGATATCTTATACATTTTTTGACGCTTAGTGATTTCCGCTGGTAAAAACATAAACTACAATAAATAGTTGTTTCAATGAAAAATTTTCTCATTTTCTTAGTTTCTACGAAACATCTACATTTGGTCCACTTTTGAACACCACACAGTCAGGAACCGAAACACCGGATCAGCAAGATATAGATTTAGTCAATGCTGTACTTGGTGTTCAAGATGGCTGGGAACCTCTAGAAGATATTTTTGGTCTTTTGGAAGAKATTTTGTGTGAAGGACAAGATGTAGAATGTAACCTTTGTGATCAATCAAATGGTATTTGATGTTGTATAACCATATGCTCTTTAGATTATTTTAAAATTGATAAACATAATAATATTAATAATTATTAGTGCCAAGATGAGGGATTGGTCATTCATTAAAGGGGAAGGGGTGTCCTAAACTTTTTCATTTGACCATCTCTTCATCATCTCACTTTTTCTTGCATCCTTTGCCATCCTTTTTTTCAATCAAAGTTTGAATTTTAATTTAGGTTCCAGTCCCACCAAGACAAATATTTACTGCACCTTACCCCCTCCCCCAAATATTGCAATTTGATCGGCAATCAAAACTTCACATATACCTAATGGTGGATAAATGAGATTCAAAGTGGTTGGCACTTTTGACTTACCTGCTAGTTTATTGTAGTCTTGTGATAATAATATATTATGAATACTTTATAGCAGATCAACAAGAAACCCAGAAACAAATCTGCAAAAATACAACTACAGAAAATGTTACCCCTACATTATATAACAAAAATGAAACAGAAAATAATGTTATAAACAGCAATCATGTAAGTAGTATTAATAGTAAGATTAAATAGTTTTGGGGGTGTACTAGAAATTTTCCATTTATTTCCTATAGATGTTAATGGAGATCAAAAGAACTCCATAAGGTCCTTTGTAGTATCTCTCGCAGCCATTCTTAGTGTCATCACATGATGCTCATTTCCCACTTAGTGGGGCGTGAGCATTACATGACACTAATTAAGAACAGCTGCAGGGGAGACGAGGTACTTGGGGATGGGGGTAAATCCTGTTATGGAGTGGTGGGATTATATGGAGATTTCCTATAATTTTTGCTCAAGACAAATTGTTAAATCTATATTCTATCTTTACAGTACCYACAAAATAACAGTCTTTCACTTTTAATTAAAGACATGCATTTGCAAAACTAAAACAATTGAAAAATTTTCTAATATTTATTTGAAAATGCCATTGCCTTACTACTTTATCTTACAGAAAACATCCAAACCACAGCAAAGTAAAAGAAAGAGAAGTAAAATTACTTCTGATCATAATGGGAAGCAGAAGAAGAAGAAGGCAGCAAACAAAAAATAAATATTAAATCAAATAACCTAGATTCATTAGTAGTCTTTAATTTGGAAACATTTGAATTGTTCAAACCCTATACATTGGTATAAATGACAATCTACAATTTTGGTGAATGTAATAAAAAAAAAATTTATTTCTAATTTTATTTTAATTGATAATCTGTTATAATTTGTTTTTAATAAAATTGTATATTTTTGTTAAAAAGATATTAACAGGCAGATAGTCTTTTACTTATTTCTGAGACATATCCTTTTTGAGATTTCTAGTGCACTAATTATTCCTGCATCATTCCCATATACAGATTTTCTGATATAATTTTCTAAACCTTTAGTAGTTTTGAATTTTTCTACATCAAGGTATCCTTTCATCAGCTCTTTAAACCAATGCCTTGTCTTGTCGTACAGTATAGTACGCTTCATAATTCCCCCTCCGAGAACAATAACATGAGGTGAAACTAGGTAAGTAATGTTAAGACAAAGAGATCCAAGGTAGTAACCCACAGTATCCCATACTGCATCACTGTCTGCAATCTTGTCAAGTTGAATCTGGTTTGTATTTGTTCTTTCAGCAATGGCTTGAGAGTCGATCATACCTTCAACACAGCAGTAATGCTTATAATTACAACAGCCTTGGTAGTCATCGCCTGGCTTTTTTGGAACTACCATGTGACCGCCCTCTGGGTGCAACAGCCCATGGACAGGCTGCCCATTAATGTTGATACCAACACCTACCCCGGTACCCACGGTAATATACACCAAAGTTGGGAATTCCCCATTGTAATCATTCTTCGTCATCTCATGTGCAACCTCTGCAATTGCTGGTGCATTGACGTCGGTCTCAAATACAATAGGCGTGTTTTCTTCCAATTCTTTCTTGAAGAAGCCAACAACGTCCACATATCCCCATCTCTCTTTTGGGGTACTTGTGATGAACCCAAAAGTTTTGGAACTCTTGTTTAGATCAACTGGTCCAAAAGATGCAATACCTACAGCACTGAATGCCTTGATATTTAACAGGCTGAGCTTCTCTTTTAGAAAATTGGCTAGTGCTGAAAATGTTTCCTCTTTCGTAGTTGTCCGGACTTCGACGCGATCGATGATTGTAGTGGGGCTAGATTCTTTGGCTATTGCAGCAATACAAGTAGTTCCTCCAAGCTCAATACCGGCAATATAACTACTAGAAGACATTGCTTTTAAGGTATTCTCGTAATTTAAAGTAATAATTCTTAAATATTGGAAAAATATCCCCGTTATAACCTAGTAGAGTGCGTAGATCGAGCATGTGACAAGTAAAATGATCCTATTTCCCGCTGTGCGCAAAGGAGGTCGGGATGAACTAAAACTGGGGCGAGATCTTCTATATTTTTAAAAGTCGTTTTACTATCGTTTCTTCCTTAGAAGTATGAATTCTATTGAATTTGCGCACTTATTATATCATTCCTTTACGAGTTAGGAAAAAATGCGCGTCTTGTCTTCAACTAATTTCGTTACCAGGTTTTTTCTGAAACTCGACCGGAAACTAAAACAGATGGTCAGCGTGGTGAGCATCAGGGTTGGGCTGTAACGATTTGAGAAATCGGGAAAAATATTGATCAAAACGAGTATTCTCTAGTCTTCAAACACGATGGCAAAACAAGTAAGCCCGTATGGATCTTGGGTGAGTCCAATTTCCAGCGATTTGGTAATCAAGGAATCGCTTTCTTTACGCGAGGTCAGACTGGATCCTCTGGACAAAGGTAAGATTAGCCCTGGATTAGTTTAGCAAATACAAGTTTAGAATGATAGCTTCAGCGGATTTTGCAGTGCGATTTTATTTTACCTGCATTTGATAGAGAAGATTGTTCAGTTTCATAAACGACAGAAGTTATGCACCTCATGGGGGAATTACTTAATTAGACAGTAAATGACGTATGTTCCCATACTCTAGATACATCCACTGTCTACTAAGCTATTAAGTGGCTGAGGAACATTGTCCTCGGTCTGAATTTTATAACGACATTTTTCCTTGTATCGTTTGTCAGAATCTTACCCTCACTGTTGGAAATTCATTAAAACAGTCTGTCCTTTGTTGCAAGTTTGTGGCTCTGGTGTTGCTGTTAATGAATGGTTTTCCACATGCTGTTAGGGGAGGGGAAGGGAGGACATAGGAAGATAAAGTTAAATATGTTTTTATTTTCAGGCACAGTCTATTGGTCTGAACTACACCCAGAAGAAGCTGGAAGAACTATTATATGTAAAGTCAAAGATGACGACAAGAATATAGAGGTTTTGACACCTCAAGATTTCAACTGCCGAACCCTTGTCCATGAGATGGGTGGAGGTACCTTTATAGTGTATAACAAGAAGATTTATTTCTCCAACTTTGGTGATCAGCGACTTTACTCTCAAGAGTCCAAACCAGGGTGTACGCCAGTACCCATCACCCCTGAGGGTAAGCAGTGGAGGTATGCTGATGCTGATGTGGCATTGAATGGAAGGGTTCTGGTGTGTGTTAGAGAAGATCATGATGTTCTAAAGGAAGGAGCAGAAGAGGCCTTGAATACTATAGTATCCATTGATTTAGAGACTCAGAAACAGAATGTGTTGGTATGTATCAAAAATGTACGATTTGGGCTCCCTGTGTTATCTGTCTCATTAAGGTAGCTCAGAAGGGCAGGGCAGAGGGGAGATACTGAACATAAAGACAGTTATTCTGTCCATCCCATTTCCTTCTAATAACAAATTTGAACATAAAACATTCAGTTTAATTTTTCAGGTATCTGGTTGCAATTTTTATGCCTCACCTAGAGTTTCTCATTCAGGGATGCTTGCCTGGTTCCAGTGGAATCACCCCAACATGGTAAGTTAACAGCAAAATAAGAAAATAGGATTTGAAAGAAATTTCTCATGATTTAAATATTTTTTTCTATGCAGCCTTGGGATGATACAGAATTATGGGTAGGACAGCTGAATGAGGCAGGAGATGGTTTTGTCGAAGGAACGAAGAAAAAGGTAGACAATATATTTGAAGAATGCTTTTCAATTTCAATTTCTTAATTGAACAATTTCCTTATGTTATTGAATATAATAAGTAGTATTTTTCTTTTCTTTAATTTCCCATTTCACTTTCCCAATTTTTMTTTTATTTTTCCTCAATTTGTATCTATTTTTTTGTGTGAATGACCATGGCCATTAATATGGTTATTCATAAAAAAGGAATACTGATATGAAGGTTTTACTTCATCAAAGTACTCAAGAGGTGGAAAGCTCTTTTTTTCCCTTCCCATTTTTCCTTTCATTCTCATTAGTTCCGTGTTTCTTATTTAACTCGCCATTTCTAAATTTTCATTTATGTTTCTTTACCAAATCCATCCAGTTGTTACTAGCTCTGTTTTCATTTTCCCAGTTTTCACTTCTCATTCATCTCTTTATTTATTTCTGATTAGGTCAGTGGTGGTGTAGGCATTAGTATATCTTCACCAAGATGGTCCAATGATGGGAAACTTCTGTTCATAAGTGACAAGAACAACTGGTGGAACCTTTATAAGCTTGAGGATGACGGCACAGAGACTAACCTTTGTCCTCTAGAAAAGGAACTTGGAATACCACATTGGATATTTGGTATGAATGCTTATGCTTGCGATCCGAGGCCTGGAAACAAAGATGTATTAGTGACATTTGGGGAGGTAAACAATAAAAGTGATATAATGAAATTATTTAGAAGAAAGGAAGTAGAATAGAAAAGATTTATCATTGGTCTCTAGCATAAAGGAAATCAGGAAAAAAGAGTCTGTGATAGGAATCGAACTCATGACCTTACGGTAACTGGTCGAATGCTCTAACCATTGGGCTACAGGAAAGACTCATATAATGAGTGGTCATTTACTGGGTTGATTATGACGTACACCCTGCATACTGCTGGCTCACTATGTCCAAATTCAGTTCAGAATTGAAAAGTGTTATTATGTAGATCATTTCACTCATTTTGCTAAGGTATATGTTACTTCAAATTCCTACCTGGTCACATTTAGAATCTTTCTCTCCTGAAACCAAATGGAGAACTGCTAAACATTGAGACTGGAGGTACTCAACATTCTCAAGTTGTGACAGACGGACACTCCGCTTACCTCATCACAAGATCTGCCACTAGATTCCCAGCATTGATAAGAGTGAATTTGGAGTCCAAAAAGGTTACTGTGCTTAAGGAGTCCTTCACAGTTCATGTTGACCCTGAATATTTGAGTGTCCCAAGAGAAGTTACATACCCAACAACAGATGATAAAGTATCTCATGGCTTTTTCTACCCTCCTAAGGTAAATGTGATTAATTATTTCAAGGTTGTCAGTGCAACAATTTCTACCCCAGATGTCTCAAATGTCTGGGATTTTGGCTTCCATCACTCAAAAAAATACTAACTTAGACTGTTGAAAAATAATGTATGATCATCATCATCATTATCATCATCATGGTAACCATTATCATCMTCATCATCATCATGGCCATCATCATCATCATCATCATTATTATTAATAAATATTTGATGGACAGAAGCCAAAAACCCAGTTGTTTCAAATTACTTAGTCACATATATAATTTATATAATTTTTATTTTTTAAATTAGCCTTCGCTTTTTTTCTAATTATTGTTTGATTATTTACAGAATAAAGATTTCAATGCTCCAGAGGGCTCACTTCCACCCCTGTTAGTGAAGGTACATGGTGGCCCTACTTCGGCATGTGGTCCTGCTTTGAACTTGGAGATCCAGTTTTTTACATCACGGGGCATAGCTGTGCTTGATGTTAACTACAGAGGAAGCACCACTTATGGCCGAAAGTACAGAGAAGAATTGAAGGGAAAGTAAGTGTCTTAATTATGGCTTCATCCTTATCCATCCATCCATTCATATATTTATTTGTTCATTCATTCATTCATTTATTTTGGAGCAATATTTTGACATGGCAGTCCAATTCAGCTGAGGCTGGTTTAAGGGCCACACCTTTTTTTAGCCTGTATTGGAGAGTTTACTTTTTCTACTTCCAGCTGGGGAATAGTGGACATGRATGACTGTTGTAATGGGGCGCTATACCTTGCCAACACAACCAAAGAAGTTGACGTCAATAAGCTTGCTATCGATGGGGGATCTGCTGGGGGATATACCACTCTAAGTGTATTAACATTCCGTGATGTCTTCAAAGCTGGGGCAAGTTTCTATGGCATCTCTGATGTAGAGGTAAATATTTTTTGAAGAAATAAAAACACACACGCAGTGCAGTCATAAAGCACCATGCTGTGTGTCATGCTTCTTGTAACACCTCTCTCAAGTTTTGCCTATCCCCAAGTGCTTTATAGCTGCACACTGCACAGCAAGCAAGTTGTTCTTTATTTTTTTTAGAAAATACAAATTAAAATAACTATTATTTTGAATACGAATGATGAAATAGAAATTATTCATGCAAGCAATCAGAACRCAAGATTTATAACAGTTATTTTATGAAGAGCCTTATTCACAGGATAAAACCCTGGAGTAGAGTACCAAGGACAGGAGGGGCAGTGCTTATTAAAAATAAAATCAAGACAAATATGAAAAATTGCTAACGCCATTACCAGAAATATTGCTAAAATTATGCACTGTTTATGTTTTCTGTAAGGCTTTGGCAAAGGACACCCACAAGTTTGAGAGTCGTTACATTGATACACTGATAGGACCATACCCAGAGGCTAAGGATGTTTACAAGGAAAGATCACCTATCCATTATGTTGAAAAACTGAACTGCCCAATTGCACTGTTCCAAGGGGATGAAGACAAGGTTAGTCATAAAGTTGTTTTTTCTATGGTAAAGCTTTTTGTAATAACCTATTCAAAACACCTACGAGTTGATGGATCCCTGTTTAAGATTTTAAGATAAAGACTACACTCCCTAGAACATACATAATTCATTGGGGAGGGGGGAAGGGAGGGGGACTAAAAAATGTCACTGGGAAAAAGGTCTCATATGTAGCTCATGAAAACATTTGGTTATAAATTTTAGCAATGTTTTTGTTTACTATAAATAGATTGTGCCACCTAACCAAGCTGAGATGATGTTCAATGCCGTCAAAAACAAGGGTTTACCAGTGGCTTACAAACTCTATAAAGGTAAATAAAACTAGGGGCTGTGGAGAGGGTAGGACATTGTTTTTGACTTTAATATGGTGCGATATATGCAGTACTGATTCCTTGCAAATTCCACTTACTGTCACTTTTATTAGAAATAATCCATATCTTATTTTTCATAGGAGAGCAACATGGCTTCAGAAAAGCAGAAAACATCAAAAGCACCCTTGAAGGGGAGCTTTACTTCTTCTCTAAAGTTTTTGGATTCAGTGCTCCTGGACTTACTGTCGAGGTAATAGGCTGAATCAACCCTAACAAACTGGTTTTCATTCTTCTACATTCACTTGATTATATGCCTTCTGTGAGCAAAACACTTACCAAATTATTAGAGATTTTCTTTCTATTCGCATGATTTCGTTTGAGTGCCAAAGATGTAAGGAAAGTGCTTCTCACTCCCTGATTCGACCTAAGCTTCGAAATAAAAGCTCTTGCCCCTTAAAAAAGGAAGGGAAGGAAGAAAAAACTTCTGGGACCGGGGTACACCAAGGAGTAAGCTTTCAATCAAAAATTATTTGATACTGGGCAATCCCCAATCTAAGAGAATAAACCCATTCATTGAATGTGGGTAGCCATCTTAGTTATTAGGCATGTGTGAACTAAAGTACAACTTTTCTTTGCCCTTCAGCTTGAAATCCACAATCTGAAGTGACCTTGAAATCAAAATGAGGTAATGATGCTATATCTCACTGGTCAAGTTGGTTTGGTTTGTAAAACTGAAAGAAAATCTCATCTGTATTAATTTGGAATAATTTAGCGATGCCATAAGAATAAATTGGCAGGTAGCAATGGCTAATAAAGTGAGGATCTTGCAATAATATCATAATTTATGAGTCAAGAGACCTGCAAAAGAAAGCAAGTACATGCAACATGGCCCTTTCATCCACAGAAAAAAAAAGTGTATTCTAGTTAAGTTATTAAATAATAAAAAATATTTACATACAACATGGCCTTGCTTTAGCAATTTAATATATTATTTACAAACTATCATAAAAATATGTTAAAAACTAGCTTTCATGTACAATCAAAGTATTCTATTTATAGTGCTTACTTTAGATTATCTATAATTCCTTTATTGTAGTATTTAAATTGTACAATGTACATTTGGTATTTACTCCCAGTAGACCTTTTCAGCTTGGGTTTAATGTTTTCCATTCGACTACATGTTATTCTCTTGAGAATGAAATTCTTTCTTTATATTATCCATATTCATGTGTCTTCTCATGCATAACCATTAGACAAAGAAATGATACTCTAGGGAATAACATGTGGTTTGAAATAGGACAACATTAAGCTAAATAGGTAGACCTATTTTCATTGTACAACTAATGGTATAGTTCATTAACTTTCCTTGGCTGGACTTGGAATTTGCTTAAAATACTTCAGGATGTTTTCTCCCACTGTAACCAGCTTAGGTATGTCCTGGTGATAAGATAATACAGAACAGTTAACTGCATTTCCACAAATGATATGTTTTGAGAGACTTGACAAGACAAGGGCAGATGGGTGGGAAATTCTGCTTTGATGTGCTGATCAATCACCCCCATGAAATCATATTAGATTTACCACTGCTTGCCAATACTTGATGTCATCATATACAGCACTTACAGAGGAAGTAGAGAATGCTAGCTATCTTACCTCACAAGTTATTTGCTCATCAGCTTCCCCTGATGCCTTCTTACAAGTCAATTCTGTATTTTTCCATTTAATGACCCAAGTATCTGACCTTTTTATACTTTTATCCACACTACTAAAGTCCACAACTTTTTCAAATCCTTGAGTAATGGGGTTGAGATTTCCAGTGTCTATATTTTCTTTCTCATCATCATCAATTATATAACATTCAACATTATTTTCACCCTTATTTAATAGTGAGTTGTTCCTGGGGTTATTTTCACTGAAGCTCGATGGTCCAGTGATACACTGTCTCTTCCTTGCAGGGGAGTCATCTGTAGAGCATTCTTGCAAACGTGATAAACATTCACTTTCATTCATTTCTTCACTTTTCCCATTCATATCTTCATTTGATTCATTTTCAGGCAGTACTCCATTATTTAAACGTTTGTTCTTTACTGGTGTAATCCTTTCATTTTTTACTAATTTAGAAGGTTTTTGGCCATCAGGAGTATTGGGGAGTATATTTTCTTTTGGTGTCTTTTTAGGCGTCGTCTTAAGCCATGTTCTTAGTGACCCTTGCTTTCTTTGACCGGGGGTTGTTGCTGGTGAGAGCGGGGTAGAAGGAAAGGTATGGCAAGGTGATGAAGGCTGGATAAGTTTTGTCTTACAGGGTGTTCCTAATCAATACAAAACAAATATGAAATTAGTTACCATGTTGTAATGAGACATCTTCCAATGAATTGGGCTGAGCATTATTGAGAAATCAAAAATAATTCTCAAGGAAAGGATAAGTTGAATAGAGGCTATTAACTGTCCAGGAGGTCAGGAGAAAAACTGTGCCTGAGGTCTTGAATAAATGGGCCAAGGCCATTAGGCCTGTCTGTTTTCAAGGGCAGAAGGCACAGTTTTTCCCTAGAACTGTAATTATTTTTTCCCCCATTTACTTTTTATCTCGTTTTGCAATTATTGTTCTAGTTTAGCAATCCATTATTCCAGGATGCTGGAACACAATCAGAGATAAAAAATATTGTCCACTTGTGCAGCTGATTGAATACTGGACTGAAAAAAACAACAAAAACACAAACAAAAACACCTAAACTTCAATGATTCTCAAAGCCATAGTATACCATTAAATTACTATACCTTGAGCAAGAGTAACTTCTGGCTTGTCTGGGATCTTGTCAAAGGGGAATTTTGTTTTTGATGCTTGGACACCAGTGGACCCATTATGAACCATAGCACCAGGACTGTTAAATGCATTTAACTGTCTACCTCTGTTAAGACGTGTGGGAGTACATAATGATGATAGGTGGGCTGGGCTGACAGCTGGTGAAGATAACGGTGTGTTGCATAGATGACTAGGACTGCAAATGTCTGGAAAGTATTTTGAATTGTGAGATTTCATTACTTAATTGCCCTATTTCACTGTGACGTCACATCAAAACAATCTATTGTTTAAACCCAAAGGATCATGGTCGTCAGAGGGGGTCAAATTAACGCAAATTCACCAAAAATTGTTCTAAAACCCGTATCAATCCACAAAGAGAAGTAGAATAGCCAGCAAACTCTCAGAATATTTTTTAGTACATATTAACACATATTATATCTGAAAACCAGGCCATTTTAGATTAAACTGTTTCGCTAGAAACAAACTTTGTTGAATTTTCTATTGGATTTGGCGATTCTATCCCCCACATAAACAAGTAGTTTAGTGAAATAGGGCAATTATATCACTGCAAGAAATAAATAAAAAACTAAAGGGAATATATAAAATCATTGTAGTACATAAAACTATGAAGGAAAATAGATTTCATAGTAAATAATCTGCCTACCCATTGGTTGTTGAGGTGAACAAGGTCTTGGTTCAGATTGCTCACATTTACCAACAAAATCTGTCTCCGCCCTTGTTACTTGGTTGCAATTCATTCTCCTTTAAAAACCAAAAACCATGGAGTTAATTCTCTTATTTGTATCTAATCACACATACAGTGCTGTTTTCATTAGTAGGGGACTTTTGCAGTCAAACCAGTTCAAGCATACCCAAAAATGCATTATTCATTCAATTATATGATAATTTGAAGCATCATTTATTTCAAGAATGCATTCCGTTTAAAAATAGGTAAGCTACTATTTGGAACATTATTTGATTCATAATCTGTAGATGCAGCATAACTTAAAAGCAGACTTTGTTGAGCTTCATCTTTTATTGAAGGGTTATACCTGGTTCTTCCTCCCCCCTCAAAACCCCAATATACTAAATCTCAATTAATTTGATCTATGAGCTAGGATGTTTGCTACTTACCAGATGCGTATATTGTTGTCATCTGAACATGTCACCACCTTTTATTAAAAGATCAAAGAGTGATGTCAGCAAACTGCGAATAATTATTGTTATACATAATCATCGTCATCACGACCAGGCACACCACTATGGATCATCATCACCATCATCATTATCAGCATCATCTTCATCACGACCATCACCTGACTATGGGTCATCATTAACATCATCATCATCACCATCCTCATCATGACCTGCACCACTAAAATACTACCATTCTCATCATTGCCTTTATTTTACATGATGGGTTACAAATACAGCATTAATTGCCATCTTTATGAAATGTTTTTTAGATATTTACCTTTCCCAGGTCAACAGGACACCATGCCACACTTGTTACTTCCCCTTCATGTCCTTTGAGAACAAAAGGTGCAGCCTTTGGTTCATCAACTCTCCAGATATAAGCATTGTTATCACTAGAACCACTCAACAGATAGGTATTATCAGGACTGAGAGCTGATTTGACGTAGAAGGTAGAGTTAAGATGACCATTGAATAAATGGACAGGGTTTTCCTTCAAGACTGTACAATCATACATGTAGATCTTGTCATTAGTACAACTGGCAAAAAGGTTTGATTGGTGTGAATCGAGAACCAGAGATGAAAACCCTGTCGAGATAAGAAAAAAATACATCAAGAAAATGGAATTTTGTCATAGCTTTTCAAATGATTGGGAGAAGCTATTGATTGGTTTTAGAGCAATTTTGTATGGGTGGGAAACGATACAGAAAATTTGTATATTAACTGACCATGTTTGCGCGGTTCATTTCCAGGATAAGGGAACACATGACAAGGCATGGGGTCACAGCGTAAATTACTATAATTTTTGCGCAAGTCCCATATCTTGATGTTACCATCCATTGCACCTGCGGATATTAGTTTGTTCTCATCTTGGAATAAAACTGCCGTTACTGACTGCTGGGAATCCTGGAAAGGAATAAAAGCAAATCGTCATCACCATCATTATCATCATGAGTATCAACACCATCATTATCATCATGAGCATCATCATCATCATGGTTATCAATAACATCCTCGTCATCATGCTATCATCATCACTATTATTATCATCAACATTATCACATCATTGTTATCATCACCACCACCACCATTATTATCACCATAATAATAATAATGATAAAAATCAATACTATTCTTACGCTGATCATTTTCACAATCATTACCATTATCATCATATGAATAAACAAATATATGTGTTTGATGAAATGATGAAATTATTATGTAGTTAATAAAACATTTTCCATACTTACTGCGACAGGCTTAGCCACGCTAGCCCTTCTTGATCTCTTCTTTACTCTCTGAGGTGTGTTTATTTGCACAGTATGTGCATTACGTATCGTTATAACAGGTTTATAAAAACCATCGCCCACTGGTCTATTACACCTTATATCCCATACCATAATGTTACCATCCCGTGATCCAGTAGAGAACGTAACTACAATAGAKACAAGTGTCATTAAGCAATTCACTTTATCACTGGCATCCCTGTGGAGTCTGGGGTAAGAGGTATTCTCCTTCCGATTCCCCTTGAATTTTGTGAGACATTGTGATAGGGAATATTGTTCAATAAGCATTTTCAATTTTCAGACTTGCAAGCAATTTAGAGACTGCAGTCAGTAAAAGTTCACTTACAAATATCATTTTCTCTGAAGTTTGCTGATTTAAGACTAGAACTGTGGCCTCTGAATATTGAAAGACACTTCCCATTCTCAACATCCCAAAGCAGCGCAGTCTGATCACCTGAAGCGGTTACCTATCAATGAAATTAGTTGAAATTAAATGTCTTATCCTATGTGCATAGAGTGCACTCCATATATCTGTGACACCAAAACCAAAGATGCATTGTCTAAATGCAGCTATTTTGTGCAAAATAGTGGATATTACTGGAGCTGCAGAGCATTGGAAACAAAAGCAAATATCTTTGTGTCTTTGTTTGGTTCATGCCTGAGGTAACTCTTAGCTATTTTACAACTAAATACTTTAAAGCTTGACATGGCTAGTAATTGTTTCACTGATATATGGCGTGCACTGTCTTTATTCCAATAAAATTTGGAAACATCTACAGGGTGTTTTACATACTAGTTTTGCTTCTCCTTCCATCCATGCTATGTCAAATATTGCATTTGAATGTGCTGTCCATTCTAAAAGTAATCAAAAAGAAAATCATCAAAATTTGTAGAAAATATCCATATCCCCAGCACAGAGGGAATTTGTAAAAGGAACCCCCTACCCCTAGCAACTTCTAATTTTCTTCCATTCTCTGTAATTTAGTTCTTTCTCTGACCCCCCTCCCCTCCAGAATTTCCAATTTCCAATTTCTGTGGGTGGGGTATGAATATTTTATGGGACTACACAACGTCAATCTTCTTTGCTGAGTCTCCCCAGCCATAGCCTAATGATTTTAAAAGCATACTTYACTCTCTTTGCAGTAAATCTTTAGGAAAAGATGTAATATTTTACAATTTACCTCTTATAATAGATCGATAGCCATATTTTCTGGTGTCAAAAAGTTTGACAGAACCATCTTCATCTGCTGTCGCTAATAAATGTCCCCCCAATTCACCTGRAGAGGAAAAAAGAAACAATGTATCAAATACAGTTAAAAAATCACTATAAGATTAAGAGGTCACTGTCACTGTAGTTCCAGAAAATATCCATACTTTCCAGACAAAGTGAGCACTCGAATTTCCAAGGGGTGGGGAGGGTCGGAGATGGGTGTATTTGGGGAGGGGTGGCGGTGGGGGTGGTAGGTCTAGAGGGAAATATGGAAATTTTGTGGAAATAAATATATTGATATATTTTAATCTAAAAGGAGATGGCAGTAAAAGATGATGAAAACTTACTCTTACTGAACTGAGAAGCAAATGGCGGCACCTCCATCTAGGTTGAGGAAGAAAAAAATTTTTTGTCGTGTTCTCTTACAGCAAAAATGAAAAATAAAATAACAACTATGTATTACTCTTATTTCACGAAAAAGGTTCTGTTGCTGAATCCTTTTCATATATTACGAAGGAATACTTTTTAATTGAATCAAAGGAGACAACGAAGGAAGGCATGGATGGTGATGAAGCTAACAAGAAAAGGTCGAATCAGATCAAAAAACAAATATCAYTCCTACCTCATCATCTCTTCCACGAACAATATGTTCATCCACTCTGTGACATGAAAATGACTTTATAGCAAAATCTACAGGGGTACCTAACGAGAAGACATTATATAGTTAGTGATTCATACCAAGAATCAAAGCCATTGAATCTCGATTTACGACTACATACGAGACTTAAACTGCTTGGAACCCAGCTGTCTCTGTAGAATAGAACTTAATAAAGTCATCCTGCGTTCTTAATAGCATATAATGCTATATTACAAGCAATATTATGAATAAAAAAGAGAGAAAATCGAGTATTTTGTTCAAAACATCGACATTTCAACTCCCGCGAAATGATGAATTTGCGCGCGAAGTGTAAACTCTTTTGATTGGTCCATATTTACTCATACAACGCGGCTTTTCATTGGCTTAGAGAAAATATTTCTTTCGTTACTTTTGATTGGTTAGACCCAGTTTCTCATCTTTTTTGTTATTTTTCAAGATGGCGGCCTCCGCGTTCACAGYTTTTTCAGCTTTCACTGAAAAATCTTCAAATAATCAAGAAAATTGGCAGGATGCTAATACTGCTTTACAGGATCTTGATAAAGGTGGGATTAATACTTCAGTTTATAATTAAAAGTTCTTTACTTTCATTTGGATTCATGATCAAGTTTGAATATTGATTTCATGTTGATCTTCTGATGCGCGATTGAACAATGCGCATTTTAAGATTTATAGAAACTCTTTCTTTTTTTTTCCAAAATACTGTTTTCAAATTCTATAAATCTGTGGAAATGTAAAAATGTCTCAAGGGAGGGGAGGGGAGGGGTAGGTAGTATTAGTTTAGACTTTGCAACTCACTAGGGTGGGGTATTCTATGATTTTGGAGTATTTGGTAACGGAGGGGTGGTTTTGGTCATTACTATAATAAATTTCTAATTATGAATATTTTGTTATTATCAATTATCCCAGGTTTGAGGAGTGGCAAGGCTGGAGAACAGTGTGATTCGATTGTCAGGTTCCCTAACTTGTTTGAGAAGTTTCCTTTTCCAATTCTAATTAATGCTGCATTCTTGAAACTTGCTGAAGTCTTCAGAACTGGGTAAGATGGCTTTTCAACATTATGACAATGATTGAGTAATTCCAAAGATCATACATCTTCAGGCCTATCCATTCTCCACATTTCCAGACCCCCAAAACCCCTTGGAAATTCCAATCCTTCTTTGTTGAGAGGTGTGAATRTATCCTGGAACTACACAATATACCCCCCTCTGACCATTCCTCTCCCTCAGCAAATCAAATCCCACCTGTGGGGGGAGGGGATGGGCTATCGTCTTGTTATTGATTCACTTTTCTATTCATATGTGTGCATTGTTTCAACAGGAGCAACTTTCTTCGTCTCTGTATCTTCAAAGTAGCTCAAAGAAGTGAGAAACACCTGGACAAAATTCTGAATGTGGATGAATTCTTGAGGAGAATATATTCTGTGATACACTCCAATGATCCTGTAGCTAGRGCCATCACTATCAGGTATTTTGGATAAGCAATCAAACCACTTGACCTTGGACATAATATATTCTCAATTCAGTTACCATGTGCCATTCTCTCTCATTCTCAGTTTATATTTATGTTGTTACAGCATGACTGGCAAATGTATAGCCACATTTAATGTTTTTGCATAYTTCTATGCACAGGCTTGTTGCCGTCAAACAAGCTTTTGCATGCCTCATTGGTAAAACAGCCAGCTTYACATCAAAATGTGTTGGTTGATTATACAAAAGACTGTGCATAAGTTATCACCTGTCATACTTTTGTATGTAGTACTTTAACTTGTTATATATTTCCACTTTATAAAGGCTTCTTGGGAGTATTGCACCAATCATAGCTGAAAGAAAGAATGCACATCACAGGTAATGTAACAAAAATCTAGGTTTGGGCTGCCTGTGGTGAAAACACCACAGGGAACCCATGAATTAAGAAATCAACTGAGCATTATTGCTTCTTTGATTTTAGTATTCGAACAGGACTGCACTCACATGACCAAGTTGAACTGGAAGCTGCAATCTTCGCAACAGGAAAGTTTTGTGCACAGTCGAGGTAACAAGTTATATATAACCTGGCATTAATAACTTCTAAGCACAGCCAAGACTTCATTTGTTGCCTGCTAAAACATGTTCTTTTATATTTATTTTTGAAGTGAATTTGCATCAGGAGTCATCAACAAGCTTGCTTTGATGATAGAAGGTAAAGGCCTCCCTATACTATCACTATAGATAAAGTATAGAACATGCATATATGTCTGCATATATGATATAATGGCAGCCATTTTGGATGACAGCAATAATAAAGTCATCCAGCTAGAGCCACTCTGTAGAATTCACTGTTAAAAAATCCCATTATTTTGAATTATTTTTATCTCCCATTTTTTATTTTTTTATTTATTTTTTGTGTCAACATGAGATCACAAAAACCATCTATTATGTACATAAAGTACTTATCCCACCCCTGAGAGTRGGAGGCAAAAATGTTCTTATATAATTGCACAATCATATTAGTAAGCCAGTGCTATTTTTATGCTTACTGTTTGGTGTGATCATAGGTCTAACTACACCTGTTGAGATGAAGCTAAAACTGGTACCTATCTTTGGTCATATGCTCCATGATATACAACTTGCTTCTAAGGTACTTTGATGAAG